CTGACTTACTCTCTCTCTCCCTTACTCTCTCTCTTCCTCTCTCTCTCACTCTCTCTCTCTTTCTCTCTCTCTCTTTCACTCTCTCTCTCTCTCTCTCTCTCTCTTCCTCTCTCTCTCTCTTCCTCTCTCTCTCTCTCACACAATCTCTCTCTCTCCGTCTCCCTCAGTTTCTATTACCAATATGTGGCCAGAGAACAAACTTTTTGATAACTACCAATTATCCTTACGTAAAATCTATTAAACATTTTGAGCACTTTGTGTTTTCGCAGTCACCTTAATAAAAGGCAATCTAGAAAAATAACTCAGGCAAGATGTCAGGTCAAGTGGGAAGCAATAACATTTATACTCCTGTAAAACAGAATTCTCGGAATTTACTCCAACTCGGTATAATGTCGGCCACATGTTGTCTAACGATTGTACAACTGCAGTGTCTTTTCGTTACCTGACAGGTAGAATTTCGGAAACTGCGCTCAGCCTTGAAAAAACTTGTGTGGCGTGTCTTAACATATTTCTACCAAACGGGTATTTGAACATCGACATGTTATTATATTCAGTTACCGCAACCAGGATTTACCCCTGAGGATAACGAAGTCAATTTGCAACTTGTGTTAAGATTTACGTTTGGCCTTACGTGGCAACAAATTATTTCCTTTACACCGTCCCCTTTCCCATATAGCCCCACGCCCTAATGCTTAACGTTTACCCAGCGAATCTGCGTGTGTAATTCAATAAGTAACGTTTCACACCCCCGCTCCGAAAGCATTTTTCGAAAGTCGTGGGGACTTAATGTCCCCAGATATCAATACATATCATGCACTCGTTTACACAAACCAAACCTAAGAACAATGACATGACAATATTATTATGGTACACCGCAGGAGAGGAAATTGCATGGAAGCTTCGAGGCTCTATAGAGAACTGCACAGTTTGAACATATCGCCCGGATTTACTGTGTGACTGCTATCGAGAATGACAGGGGAAGATGAAAATTCAGATAAAGTATATCATCCAAACGTCACAAAAACAACCGATCTGCACTATAAACAAGAATGTACAGAAAAACAGACTCTGAGCTCGGCTTCTAGATACTTGGCTATGATTTAAATCCCCGGAAACTTGTCAAATCATTCGGATTTGGTGACTCGCCGAGAAGCATGAAGTTTTTGTTAGTTGTTCCTGGATAGAAATATCGTAAGACGAAGACATGTGTTTGCACTATTTAACAAATCAGTTCAACATAAAATAGCAGGAAGAATTGAGCTTTTTGTTTTTAAAAAATGTTAGGCTTTCGGGGATTTCAGTGATGTGTGAGTTTTTAAGATATGCGTTTGAACGTAAACTATTCTATCATGGCTGTGAGTGTATGTACATATTTTTCCTTCCCATTGACACAGTTTAGATCATTTAAGGGCGGGCAGCTTCGACTCTGCCTTTCCCGACACAACCAGAGTAAGTGGGATACCCCATTAAAACAGACAGATGGAGAAATACGATAAAATAACGTCTTCAAGCGGGAATCAAGATGAAATCCACAGGAGAGGAAGTAGAGAGGAAGGCCAAGATCCACTTGGGAGCGAGATCTGAAGGCAGAGAAGATCTCCCAGAACAGAGACAGGTGGAGAGTCTTTCCTGGCGGCCTATACCCATTACCAGGGAGGGATGAGGCAGATGATGAAACGAGAATCGATATCATGCCTTCTAAGTGCAACAGCGGAGAGCCTAACCATGACACCACAGATACTGAATAGCCCCTGTATATGAGGAAATCCATGTTCCTTCTTAAAGAGAGAATCAATCTGGCTGAAGTCTGTGATGTATCATATTCCACAAACACATCAATGTAACTAACGACAGCGGGGAAATGGTTTTCTTTTCTTTTCCTTTTTTTTTTGGGGGGGGGAGTGTTGGTGCAAGTATTTAATTCAAGACGAACGTGACATTTATCAATTTGTGAATCTTTCTAAGAAATGGAAATCTAACATTCGAATCAAACTGGGGTCAAGGCTGATACATAATGTGCCACTTTGAGTGAGTGTGTGATCACAGATGATCGAACTCTTCACAGCTCACAAAGACCTAAAAGTGTTCCCAAAAATTGTACCTTAGTCAACCCCTCTGGCTCTGCCCTCTATGACCTCGGTGTATTTGCCCTCCCTGGTTCTCGGTCAGAGACTTCAGTATGGACATTTTCATCCATCATAGAGTTCCCCTGATCTTGTCATCTGCTCTCTTTTTACTGGGGAGAGTAGGGGGTGGAAGAGGGGGATTGGAGATATCCTCAAAAATTAAGAGTTTTTAAGGAATTCACCTTCTATAAAAACACTCGTGCACTTCGATACGAACTAAACGTGCGAGCACATTTTAGAGTTACATCGAAGATTGGATGCATGACTTTGACCTCTTGAAATAATATTATGAAAATCCAACACACACACCCACTTTAGTACTGACAGATTTTAGAATCCAAAAACTTCCCAAACCCTACAAGTTCAAATTGTTAGTTATTGATCCGAACCACACAGTCCAGCATAATATCAACAAAATCAAAGACGTGCCAGCTGTTGAACTTAACTGAGTCTGGGGAATGAAATAAGCCAATTACGGCAACATAAACTGGATGTGCTCTCAAGTGTTTCTTTTTTCCCCACAAGTTTAGCAGACAAGAGGGCTTGGCACCAAAAGAATAGCACGATCAAAGGTGTAGTAAAAATCTTTAGAAAAGCTCCGAATTCATTTTTAAATCTTAACTTAAAAGGATGACAAGCTAAAGGACGTACCTTTGTGAAACACATTAACTGATCATTTTAGAACCCTGTGTTTTTCTGCTGGCTTTTGTTTATTAGCATATTGGCGTTTTATGTTGTTGTTTTTTTGTTCCTGTTTTTAAAAAAAGCAAGAGTACTTGATATAAAGTCATCTAAAAGTCTTATCATATATTACACCTTTCCTCAAGAGCAAATCGACGAAAGGATGCAACAACAGCAACAACAACAACAACAGAAATAGTAAAAACAAAAGACTGCAACAGGGGTGGTAGCAACACCAGTAGCAGTAACACACTAACAAAGGTAACATCGAAACCACTATAAATAGCAACCCCCCAAAAAACAACTTTTAAACAGAATTCTTCGCGTTTTCTGCAGACAATTCTGAACCAAAAAAAAATCGTTTATTCTATTTCCAAATAAAGAAAGTTTAGACAGCAGCTAGAGAAATAAGATTGACTTTAAAAGTTAAATATAAAGTACAAAGCAATCACCCCCCACAGAGTGGGGATAAAATTAAATTCCCTGACAGAAAACACGGAACAATTGCATTGTTGCAACCAACTTAAAAGCCAAGAAAGGTTATAAAACAAAAAGGTATTCGGACAATGAACTGAAATGTAACAAGTGCATTAACTTCTTTATGTCTTGCCGGGTCTGTTTTTCGTTGTCCTTGGGCTTTACTGGACTATATCCCGATAGCTTTAAGAGAGAATAAAAGTGAAGCCATTAAAAATACATCCCTGGTAACAAAAAAACGTCCCTACAATTATTTAAGAGTAGTGTCCAACAGGCATTGATCTGCACGAAACTCGTCTTTCTTGGGCAAAGTTGGATTGGGGTTGTGTGTGTGTGGGGGGGGGGGTGGTTTTATTATTTTTAAGTGGGTTTGGGTTGGGGGGGGGGTTCCTAGTCGTCGATTGAAAGGGAGGAGGGTGGCATTACTTTGGGTGTAGGCGATTGATTTGCCAAGCTTTGCAACAAAAGAACCAAAACTGAAAATGTCGCCCACGGGGCAATGGTAAGGCTAAGTGCCTAACATGGAAAAGCGTTCTGAGTTCGGTTCACAAGTCGGGAGGATTATTTCATCAAGAAATCTCTCTTTCTGCTTTGGCGCATCTCTTTCACCCCGGTTGAAGCTAACAAGCAGGGTAGAAGCAGCCAGCCTCAAAAAGTTGTCTGAATTGTGTCGATGGGGACAAGAAATATATAAACTGTGTACCAGCCTACTCATATAGAACATATGTTCAGATCTCATGAGCTCTAATGTCTTTTCTTCAATTTGTTGGGTTATGGTGGTTCTTGTATTAAGACGCCGTTGTTGTCCTTCACGTTAGTTTATTATCAATAGTTACATTTTATCGTTGCTCTTCAAAGTGCCTTTGCTTTAATTTCTCTGGATGAGAGGTAGGGGAGGGGGGGGGGGTAGTGGGAAATCGTTGAGTCCTCGTGAAAAAGTGGCAAGAAAAGAAAAGATATAAGTGAATTACCTTACCTATATATTCAAAACAGAGCTGTGATAGAATATTTAGTATTTTTCTTTACGCGTATCTCATTTTCTTTTCTAATATCGGAGAGTGGAGCCACTTGTGATTGTTATTCATCTATATCGAAACACTGCAGATTCATGTTCAGCATCACCGAATTGTAAACCCAGAAGCTGTCGAAAACTCATCAATCATCAATGATTTTTTTCCACATCCTCCCGATGTTTTATCTTCGCGATCCATCTAACAAATTACGTATATTCAACTAGCTCTCAGCTAATCAGGTTGAAAACTTTATGTTGCTTCCACTTGTTAACTCTTTTATTACAATTCAACAGTAAAACTTTTTACGTTCACCTAATAGGCCTCCAATAAATTCATTATTCATTGGTCTGGCTTCCCGCTTTACAGTAAAAGAATACCTACAGGACTACCCACTGCTTTGACAAATTGTTGTTCATGCATGTATCTTGTCTGTGGCATTCCGCAGGTTACATTAAACTAACCATTCTCTTCATACATTCCTTTTTAAAAAGATGTTTGCTTAAAACACTAACCATAACATAGGATATCCATGCACTTCACAAGCTCAATTCAAAGCAATACTGTAATTGCACCCATGATCCACACCCATTACTACTTCGAATACATGGGCCTTAAGTGGTAGAAAGCTTATGTACTACTTCGAGTATTTGGGCCTTAAGTGGTAGAAAGCTTAATTATTATGTACTTTTGAGCTAAGCCAAGCTCCTGATGAGATTATGTCAATGCAAAACGTATTCTGCAAATAGTTTCTTACCAGGAGAAGGCACAAAGCGCACTTTTTTACGTGTATTTTTGTGACGTAATACGTTCACGTGTAATATGACATGGTCTCAGTCTCAGACTCACACATGTAGGGCCTTTTTTTTTAGAGAACTTAATAACCAAAACTTTTAGACTTCAAGTACCTCAAAAAGGAAGGAATGTAGATTATCTTCATAAATATAACATGGACATGCTGTTTTGCACAGCTATCCTGACCCAGACGTCATGATGTGGAACAACCAGCGTATTCTGGTGTTCTGTACTCTGGATCAACTACCCTAGTTGTGGGAGACGTCGATGTTTTGGAGGCCCTACAGGCAGACAGTAAGATTCACCGCTCGGCAACCTTTGCGACTTTGTATGTGTCTGTTTGTCTCGACTTATGTTAATTCTGATTCATCCTGGGACAGATATTGAGTCTGATGTGCTCACTGCTCTTTCTCACATTGTTAATATTATTATTTATCATTATA